CTCTCCTCTCCTCTCCTCTCCTCTCTTCATTTCTCTTCTCTTTCATATACCCATCAGTTTGATACATTCTCTCCTCTCCTCTTCTTCATCCATCCATCCATCCATCCATCCATCCATCCAATCTCTCCTCTCTTCTCCTCTCCTCTCTCCACTCTTCATTTCTCTTCTCTTTCATACATCCATCAGTTCAATATATTATCTTCTTTCCTCTTCTCCATCCATCCATCCATCTATCTGATCTCTTCCCTTCCCTTCCCTTCCCTTCCATGCCATTCCAATTTGGGATGAATGGAAAGGCTATGGCTATGGAAAAAAAATCTCTTTGACATTCTGATTGATGCATACCGGTTGTCAGACCTGCCACAGCTTAAACTCCAAAATAGACATGATCTTTGGGTCCGGTTGTCGAGAAAAGCATTGTTTTATTAGAAGTCAAGCATATCGCAACAATGCAAAGCCAGAACTGAGAATCATGCATTGAAATCTCTAAGGTCAACTCCCCCCCCCTTGCTACCTCCCATTACCTACCTCTAACCAACCAATGGGGTTCAGGCAGTGTTTTCATCAGGGATAGTCCAGGCACAGTTTGGTATGCAGCTGTTATGCCAGGTGACTTTGAAGTAGCTTCTTGAAGAGATACAGCACTTACTTTCATTTCCCCCCAAGCCTTCCCTGTTGAATTTCCCCCATCCCAGAATTCATGGCAGTCTGACATCAAATAGTAGTGAAGCAGATGCAAGCGCGAGGTGGCAGCTGACCCCGGTAGAATAGCAGTTATTTGTAATCACTAAAACACCTGTTGCAACTTCACTTTGCACAAAAGCAATATCGATTTTGTATTGTATGGATTCCCGACATCTCTACAATTGAAGCAGGGCTTATAAACCATCCCATTCAGCATCTGCTTTATTCTGGAAATCCAGAATGAAAGCATTCAAGGTGGATAATTCTTCAAGTCTACTTTTAGTCTTCCATCAAAATAGACCTTAATAGCCTTCAGGTAATTGGCAAGGTCAAGATTCTCTTATCATACAGATGTTCCCCTTGATGTTCTACTAAAGTTTATCTTCCTGTAACTTAACTCCAGTTAAATTTAATTCACACTTCTAGGATAGAACAACTGTTTACTTTTCCCCCTTCTATATATTAGCCTTTTAGGTTTCTGAAAAACACTATTTTATTTCTCCATTTTTCTTCTTTAGGGTAAAGTTATTTTCCAATTAATTAGGAAGGTTCAATAATTTAGGAAAACTGGATATAAAAGAACAATATACAAAACTGCTACAACAAATGGATGTATGCATACACACATACACAGAGAGACTCATTTTCTCTGTCTTTGTCTCTCTCTCTCTCTTTAACACACACACACACACACACACACACTCATACATACAGCAAGAGAGACAGAGAGAGAGAGAGGGAAAGTGAGAGAGAGAGAAATTGGAACTAGAAATGCATACAGTTTCCACATAAATCTTAAACAAAATATTTGCAAAGTGATACAGAACAGGTCAAAATGAATTTGCTTTTTTAAAAAAAAAATGTGAGGAGTGAATCAATAAAGCATGTAGAGGTTAGGGTTTTGTTACAGTGTGTTTGAGTTCAGATAATTTACTATCTATTTCTTTCCATAAGAAAAAGGATTGGTTTGCGGTAGCACAGGGCTGTCTTTAGAACCAACTTACATTTTGAAGTACTGATTGTCCTTATTTAGTGACTGCAATTACCACGATGATGAAACAGTAACTTTGCAAGGAATTCTCACATAGATAACCTTTTCTAGTCCGTAAAGCAAAGGAAAGCTGATGTAAGCTCATAAGCACAATTGCAGTTTCATTTAATGACCACTACCTGTATATGGTAGAATGATCTTGTGAAACTGAGGGCACATGTTCCCATGATCAGTTCAAGAAGTGTTGCAAAGAAGGAGCAGCTTCTGTCCAGGACTTCATGCTGCTACATGAACAAGACCTTTTGCGTGTGAAAAGAAAGGGCATCTTTCATATGTGCGCATTTATTTGTTCTGAGAAAGGACTCATGCTAGCTGGCTTCATTCCTCTTAGATATTGTCTCTCAGTACTATAGCCACTGGGAGAGAAGCTGCTAACATCTATTTTCTGTATTGGACAAAAATAGAGGGTCAATCCATACAAGATGTTTGCTATACAGTTGGCCTTGGCATATAAGGCAGACAGAGAGATGGTAAGATGGATGATGGACAGATGATGGGTGGATGGTAGATGGATGGATGAGGAGGAAGGAAGGAAGGAAGGCTGGGTGGATGATTGGGTGGATGGATGATTGGATGGATGGATGAAGGATGGATGGATGATTGGGTGGGTGGCTGATTGGATGGA